GCTGAATTGTCTATTCTCAGCTTGCTGAAGAAAAATGTCTAAGTGATACCCTAGTTGCCAATTGTGCGATTAGAGTTTTGTTTCCTAGGATTGATGATGCTAGGCAGACAGCTATTTGTGAGAAGTTACTGCAATCGTTACCAGAGCTGGTTTATGCTAGGTGAATAACTTTCTTGAAGATACTGTGTACTAGGACAGCAAGAAAGAAAATGGTAAGTAGATTTAACAAGCCATAGCCTAACTTACGATAAATAATGAAACAAAACCGATAGGAATACACACAGTCATCATACTGTGCATGATTTACATGAGGTTCCATGACAATTTGGTAATCAGGCTTGTACAGTCATTTGTAATAGTAGGAGCCCATTTTAAACAAGATGCTGGTTGAATACAAAGTTGCACAGGTGCCTTGCCAGGGTCACCTTTAAATATGTTTCAGAAGTTGAGAGGCACCATGGTAATTGATAGATCACTTGATGGAGCAGAGGAGTCAAAGAGGAAGCATCTGGGGAAGAAATTCTGTGTGGTATCCCAGGGCAGAACCTAATGGGCACAGTGGGGCAGATGGAAGTTCTCAAGTGAAGCGAAAAGCTTAACCCAGCTCTGGTATCCTTCCTTTTGTGACAGTGAGAAAGGGGATAAAACTTCACAATTCTCAGCAAGCAGTTTGCCTAACACCTCTGCAATGCATGTAAACTGTACCTGGGCTTGTGCTTATCAGTCTTAGGTCTGATTTTAAATAGGATGCTGGCACAGTAAAGATTTGTTGCATAGTCTCAGTGTCTCCTTGAAACAAGGAAGAAAGATTTGCCAACTGGGTCTTAAGGGGGTCCTGTGAATGTGTGGAGGGGGAGAGAGACCTGCACTATCTATGCAACAGAATGTCAGGACCCACAGTCAAACAGCAGAGCACATGCTTCTTCAAAGGTTTTACTTTATTGTTAGCACTATGGTAGCATAGACACAGGCACTGTTGGGAATGACTACATCATAGAAAGCTGAGAGAGATATAGGGTATTCGAAAGCTACATTCGCCGGGAGAGTTTAAAAGCAGGGCAACTGCAATGTAAAAGCTGTTCTGTTCTGGCTATTAGATGTTGATCCGTGTTGGAGTTGTGTTCGAGTTGAAGAATAAAGTTGTGTTCTTGCTGAATCACTCTCCGACTGCTTTGTTAAGTGAGCGACTTAACATTACCCCTGTTCCTTCACCAACCCACCTGGTTAGTTGTTCCCATACCATTCTGAGACAATATATTTCCAGTCAGCAGAAGTTAGAGGTAAACCAATCAGTCTGGCTACCTCCACAGTTGCCCTCTATATCAGGGGTAGCTAAACTGCCTCGGGAGCCACATACGGCTCTTTCACACATATTGTGCGGCTCCCAGCAGAGCGGCCAGGGAAGCTAAATATCATTAGCAAACCAATATCATTGGACAAATAAATATCATTATCAATATCTGCTTTTACCCCTTTTGTTTTGACAGTCTTAGTTTAATGTTAATAAAAAAGCAAATTTGCATATTTCCCAATAAAAATATGTAATATTTGTTCATGTCTTGTGGCTCTCAGACACAAGAGAGAGCCAGTTTGGTGTAGTGGTTAAGTGCACGGACTCTAATCTGGGAGAACCGGGTTTGATTCCCCACTCCTCCACTTGCACCTGCTGATGTGACCTTGGGTCAGCCACAAGCTCTGGCACAGCTGTCCTTGAAAAAGAGCAGTTTGTGTCAGAGTTCTCTCAGCCCCACCCACCTCACAGGGTGTCTGTTGTGGGGAGGGGAAGGGAAAGGAGTTTGTAAGCCGCTCTGAGACTCCAAGTGAAGGGCGGGGTATAAATCCAATCTCCTCTTCTTCCTCCTCTTCTTCCTCCTCTTCTTCTTCTTCTATGTGGCTCTTACATTAAGCGAGTTTGGCCACCCCTGCACTACACCATGCTGGCTCTCTAAACAAGAATGCATGATAGAAACTATCTAAACTGAATCTAAATTAATCTAGATTCTCTTAAAAGCATGTACGTAGGAAGGCGCCCGCACTGATCAGCTCTGAGAAGTTTATACATCATATGATACTGAGTGTGTGTGAAAAGGCCTATTTCCTGCTGTCTCAGCTTGCTGAAGAAAAATGTCTAAGTGATACCCTAGTTGCCAATTGTGCGATTAGAGTTTTGTTTCCTAGGATTGATGATGCTAGGCAGACAGCTATTTGTGAGAAGTTACTGCAATCGTTACCAGAGCTGGTTTATGCTAGGTGAATAACTTTCTTGAAGATACTGTGTACTAGGACAGCAAGAAAGAAAATGGTAAGTAGATTTAACAAGCCATAGCCTAACTTACGATAAATAATGAAACAAAACCGATAGGAATACACACAGTCATCATACTGTGCATGATTTACATGAGGTTCCATGACAATTTGGTAATCAGGCTTGTACAGTCATTTGTAATAGTAGGATGCTGGTTTAATACAAAGTTAAACAAGATGCTGGTTGAATACAAAGTTGCACAGGTGCCTTGCCAGGGTCACCTTTAAATATGTTTCAGAAGTTGAGAGGCACCATGGTAATTGATAGATCACTTGATGGAGCAGAGGAGTCAAAGAGGAAGCATCTGGGGAAGAAACTGTGTGTGGTATCCCAGGGCAGAACCTAATGGGCACAGTGGGGCAGATGGAAGTTCTCAAGTGAAGCGAAAAGCTTAACCCAGCTCTGGTATCCTTCCTTTTGTGACAGTGAGAAAGGGGATAAAACTTCACAATTCTCAGCAAGCAGTTTGCCTAACACCTCTGCAATGCATGTAAACTGTACCTGGGCTTGTGCTTATCAGTCTTAGGTCTGATTTTAAATAGGATGCTGGCACAGTAAAGATTTGTTGCATAGTCTCAGTGTCTCCTTGAAACAAGGAAGAAAGATTTGCCAACTGGGTCTTAAGGGGGTCCTGTGAATGTGTGGAGGGGGAGAGAGACCTGCACTATCTATGCAACAGAATGTCAGGACCCACAGTCAAACAGCAGAGCACATGCTTCTTCAAAGGTTTTACTTTATTGTTAGCACTATGGTAGCATAGACACAGGCACTGTTGGGAATGACTACATCATAGAAAGCTGAGAGAGATATAGGGTATTCGAAAGCACCCCCCACACACACACCTATGGGCCAATCAGCCTGACTCCCGCCAGCGGGAAAGGACCAAGGCAATTAGAGGCGAGGCTGGGAAATGAAACCAATCTCACGGGTAATTAATGGGAAGACACTACACAAGCTGGCTACAAGGTCAGTGATAACAAGGGGGAGAAGCAGAAGAGAAAGGAATGCGGCAGCAACTGGCACACAGGTCATGAAAGCGAACCTGGGCCCATAAACTATATAGCAACATAGCTGACAAGTGGTAAAGTCTAGACTGCAGGCGAGAGGGAGAATGATTTGTACAAAATGGAATTTTTTTGCAAGTAGAAAATGCAACAAGGAGCAGCCTGAGTTTGGGTTTTGTCTATGATGTTCTAATTTTTTAATTATTATTTGCAGGAAGTTTTTGACTAGACAAAAAGAAGTGGGTTGCTATATTGGTCCATAGCAAAATACCACCCCCCAAAGTAATATCATTTATTAAGACCAACCAAAATAGCACGTCACATCGTGCAAGCTTCTGAGTTCTCTAAAACTCTTCATCAACCTGCATGTTGGTGGAGAAGAAAACTTTCAGGCGGAGGTGTTAAGGCCACTTTGCATTGGCCATAGAGCACTTAATTCACTTCAAAAACACTGGGATATGTTTTGCCGCCGCCCCAATCCAGCCGGCAGAACTGTGTTATTTTTGTTTGCCTTAATAGAAGGTATTACATGGTGTGGGTTTTTTAAAAAAAAATTTGACATGGGGAGGCATTACGAAAATGGTACCCTCCACTGAAACCTCCAGCAGAGTACCTCATTCGATCACTTTACTCCATGAGCAGAACAAGTTAAAAATCAGATCGGGAAAGTGGGGGTAGGCTTTAGTACACTAGTAGCCCTGTGGCACCTTGAAGGCTAATCTATATATACTTAATACGGACACCGCTCGGAAGCCTTTCACAGGACGTCCTTCGAAAGCACCTACTGCAAGATCTCCCTCCGCCTCTGAGGGTCAATCAGGCAAGGCCGGCTCGAAAGCCGCTGGTTTATTTTCCAGCCCTGCCGAGCAGGCGTCTGTCTCGCAAACTGGCTTGTGACCCGCCCACCGCGGCCCTGAGAGGCTGCCGCGGGTCACGTGGCTCCTTTCCCCGGGGGTAGCGCCTCTCTGGGCTGGCGAGGAGGGCCCTTCGGCTGCCCATTCCGCCGAGCGCGCGAGGAGGGAGGTTGCGCCGCGTGTCTTCCTCACCGAAAGTGATGCAGAACTCTGGCAAGGAGGGAATCTCCAAACGGGCACGGCCCGACAGCCCGGCCGAAGGGTTTCACACCCCCGAAAAAAAGGTCTCTGCGTGGGAAGATGCGGATCCCGACCACCTCCACCCCCGGCACTGGGGGACCGAGCAACTCTGCTGCTTCCTCCGCCGCAACAGCTTTGGAGACCCGGTGCAGCGCTGCTTCCGAGGTGAGCGGGAAGAAGCTGGGAAATGAGCGGGAGGGGCGCTTGTGAGTCGTGTTGTGGAGCCCGTTAAGTGTCCACCTGCGCAGTGTCTTGAGTGGGCGGGAGATGAGTAGTCGGTGCGTTCTCCGCCGCCGGGTTCCTGGGGAATTCTCGTTGAAGTTGGTTCTTTGGTACGTTCTTGGCTTCTGATATACAGGTGCCCTCTGGAAAACTTTTATAGGGTTTGTTGATAGCCATGTTGAGCACTTCTGAACCATCCCCCACAAGTGAAGACCCTCCCCAATTATACATTTTTTAACCACCAGCAAACTGCTCCTTACCAGGGCGTCTGGTCCAAAGCTTTACTCTTGGTTTTTCCTTTCTTGGGAATCACATTTCATAATTAGCTTTATGCAAAAGGACAAATGGACACAAATATGATACTCAAAATCACAATGGTCAGAAACCAATGGGTGAATTTTGTAGTCTTCCAGGGTATTCTTCTACTGATTTAAAATTAACTGGTTTCCTTCTAAGGAAGTTCAGATGGAGAATCCAGTGGGACATTACTGTATTAGAATTCATCAAGTAAGTCAATATAATCTCCCCACCAAACCTGAACGAATTCTTAGTCACTAGAGGTGCTCATCTCTTGGCACATTCCCACCTCTTATGGATGTTAATTAGTTAAACTATAGTTATATACATTGCACTAGTTCCATTCTGTATTAATTCTGCTTTGCCTGACTATCAGCAATTGGGACCTCACCCACTCTTTGTAGACAGGTTTTCTGATTTGCTTATGTTTTAAACTGTTCTTGTTTTGTACTCTCTTCCCCAACTTTATGCTGTCTATAGGTTTGACTATAAATGCATCTGCCTAATGATTGGATACTTCATGTGCATAATGAGGAGAGCTCTGATTCATGAAAGTTTATGCTGGAATAAGCTTTGTTAGTCTTTAAAGATGCTGCTGAGCCGCTTTATTTAGCTTATTTAGCTTAGCTTTATTTATTTGCTATTGCTGTTTGCATGGCACTGATCCAAGGTCACATATGGTGCAGTCTTATGCATGTTTATTCAGAAGTAAATTCTGCTTTATTCAGTAGGGCTCAGGTAAATGATTGCTGCCATAATAATACAGATTAGGAATTCCATCACATTGTAAAAAGCCTTGGTTATCGGCCAGCCACTGCCTCTTGTCATAATGGTGCTGTCTCAAAATGTATGCCTTTATCAATCTGTTTTCCAGACTGGTATAGCATCAGCTTACTCTTCTACCTGTCGTCAAGCATCAGCTTACTCTTCTACCTGTCGTCAAGTACCCTTTTTTTTGCTGTCAAGTCACAGCTGATTTATGGTGACCCCATAAGGCGGGGATGTCAAACATTTGGCCCGGGGGCCGGATTAGGCCCCGGAGGGCTTCTATCAGGCCTGCAGTGGAACTGGCTGTCTTCTGCTGCTGCTTCCAGTTCTGCTGCTGCTGCTGCTGCGTCATCATAGGTTTGCATCTTACAGATGCACACCTGAACAGCATACTCGAGATTGCAACAGCACAGACATTTTGATGCAGTAATTCAGAGCAAGATGTGTCAGTTATCAGACACTGTTAAATAAACAAAATATTGCAAGAGCGCTAATGTTTTAAGCATGTTTTTATTTTAAGTAAAAAAACCACCTTTGTGTTTGTGTCCTTTATAAAGTTCATATCTCCGCTACCTGGCATTACCTTTTATGACACACATGGCCCGGCCCAATAAGGACTCATTTATGCCAGATCCGGCCCTCATAACAAATGAGCTCGACACCCCTGTCATAAGGTTTTCAAGGCAAGTGACCTTCAGAGGTGGTTTGCAATTGTCTGCTTCTGCATCACAACTCTGTTATTCCTTGGTTGTCTCCCATCCAAATACGAGCTAGTGCCAACCCTGTTAGCTTTTGAGATCTGATGAGTTTGGGCTAGCCTGGGCTATCCAGGTCAGAGCACCTTTACTACCTAGCTGAGGATTTTAAGCCCTTCAGGCAGCAGTTCACATTTTAGGCTACTTAGAAGAGAAGACGACCTCTATGCTTCCTGGAGCATGTCCCAGTTTTTTGAGAAAAGTGAAAGCTATGCCTCAGAGGGCTTGGCCCGACTTCTTGAGAAAGGAAAGTGAAAGCTATGCCTCAGAGGGCTTGGCCCGACTTCTTGAGAAATGAAAGTGAAAGCTATGCCTCAGAGGGGTTGGCCCAACTTCTTGAGAAAGGGAAGAAGAAGAGATTGGATTCATACCCCGCCCTTCACTACCTTGGGCAAGCCATAGTTCTGTCAGAGCTGTTCTCTCAAGGATAGTTCTCTCAAAGCTCTCTCAGCTCCACCTACCTCACAGGGTGTTTGTTGTGGGGAGGGGAAGGGAAAGGAGTTTGTAAGCCACTCTGAGACTCCTTCAGGTAGTGAAGGGTGGGGTATAAATCCAATCTCTTCTTCTTCTACCTGAAGGGGACTCAGAGCGGCTTACAATCGTCTATCCCCTCCCCTCCCCACAACAGATACCCTGTGAGGTAGGTGGGGCTGAGAGAGCTCTTTCGAGAACAGTTCTGAAAGAACTTGTGATTGACCCAAGGTCACACCAGCAGCTGCATGTGGAGAAGTGGGGAGTCAAACCCAGTTCTTCCAGATTAGAGTCCGCGCTCCTAAACATCACACCAGACTGGTTCTGTGAAAGTGAAAGCTAGCTAATTACCCACTGCTCCTGCGTTGCTACCATGATCATGTGACCCGTGAAAAAGCCACTAGCAACACAGGCACAGTGGGTAAGTAGCTACTATTCTCCCCCCCCCCCATTCTCTCTCCTGCCTCGGGCTGACCCCACAAGGAAAGCTACTTCGGGGGGGGGCAGCACAGCACGGTAGCGCTGCGTGCCCCAGTTTCCCTCCCCCCAGTGGAAAGAAGGAAGTGAGGACAGACAGGCCAGCATGGCAGCAGCCCAAGGCAACGCAGCTTAACACTTTCCGCAAGGCCAGGTACTTCTCAGGGGGGGAGGCAGCAGTGGGGTGGGGGGCATTAGGGCATGTGATGGGGATGCCACCCCCAACACCCCATCACTGGCTACAGCCCTGGGTATAAGCTTTTGTGTACATGCACACTTCTTCAGATACAGTGAAACAAGCCATCCTCAACCATTACATATAGGTAGAGAGAGGGTGGGGGGAGGTTAAGTTGCCAGGAAGGGCTATTTAGAGTCAAGATGTGTAAGTAACTGGGCGATTATAGCTGAGATTGGACTAAAGCGGTTGGTAAAATCTGTGAATAGTGGTAAGTTAACATACAAATACAAGAATTAAAACAGATGTGAAACTTCACTCAAACTCAGAGGGGTCCTTCTACCTATATGTAATGGTTGAGGATGTCTTGTTTCACTGTATCTGAGGAAGTGTGCATGCACACGAAAGCTTATATCTTGAATAAAAGTTTGTCTTATAGATGACACTGGACTCAAACTTTGTTCTGTTACTTGAGATATGTTTTGCTTTCTAAAAACTAGCTGAGATCAACATTGCAGTTATTTGTAGTACTGGTTTCTGAAGTCGTGTTAATTTTAATGGAGTTCCAAATATTCAGCAATTTCATATTTTCTAAATTCTGAATCTGAAGGGTTCTAATTTTGGATCTTGGTGTTACTGCACATCCCATGTAATTTCACAAAAATGTATGATATGCTAATGAAGTACAGGGAGTAGACAACAACATAATTGTTTCAGTGGTATCCCAAGGTAGCACTCCATAGGGGATGACAATAGTGAAATGTCATTCTTTTCTTTCTGCTGGGTTTTCTTAACAAGCTGCTGCACCTGGGCAAAGTAGGAGTTCAGAGATGCAGAGAAGAAAGGAGGTTTGCTCCCTTATCTGTTAGAACTTTGGGAATGCAGGGAATCTCTACTAGAGTTGATAACAATGCAGAAGCGTATATTAGGCTAAGGGGGGGAATCCAATAGGGGGGAAAATCCAAACGGGAACATTTATTTATTAATTTACGTTGTTTATAATCCTATTGTCTCACTGAGACACTAGTTAAAACCAGTGCAGTCACAGCAGAATATATATTCAATTATGGAATGAAATGGGAGCCCAGCAATTTTTTACCATTATGTATTATTGTCCTGGGGATTTGGAAATCTATACCCATTAGAAGTTATACAAAATAAATTTGCATGTATGATGTTGGGAGTTCCTAACTCCACATCATCAGCTTTGCCACCAGTACTGATAACAGTTCATAAACTTGTTACATATTTCTGGCTGAAGATCTTTTTCTCCCAAGCATTGCTTCTAATTACAATGGTATATGAAACGAAGAAAGATATATCATGGAGATCACAGACACTGTCTTTATTGGTTAAACTGGGATTATCTGAAGAATATTTAAGGGGTTTTGGTTGTGTAGTTGCTAGATGCTTAATTAAACAAAAGATGATTGGGCATAAATTCACAAGTAAATCATGGGTTACTTAGTACCATGAGTTCAGCCACTTTATATAAACAACATATCTTTTCCTATAGCTCGCCCTTTTTACTTGGTGACCAAATGATCATAGAATATAGAAAGTCATTTACTAGGGCTCAGATGGGTATTTTACAATTGGCAGTGGTGAAGGGCCACTACAATAAGATCCCATTTGATGATCAAGTGTGCTCCTGTGACCACAAATCATTGAAGATTTGGCTCATGTTACATTTCGATGCCCAAGATTTGTAACTGTTTGGGAGAAATACCTTAGAAATATTTTACAATGTTTGCCAGAAAGGTCAGAGCAAAATAAATTAGTTGTGTTATTGGCAGATAAGAATAGATGGATCACAGTGAAAATGGCACATTTTGTAGCATCAGTGACCAAGATACAGTTAAGATGCTTGAAGTGCATTATATTTGTAAATTAATTTATTTAATAGGATTATTTTGGTAGGATTTATTATATTTATTATATTATATTGACATATATGATTGCATTGATTCTTGGATCTAAACATTGATAGGGTTATGTTAATTTATATGGTTTTTCTGATCAATTTATGTGATAAGTTTGTATTGACATTGTAATATTATTGTATTGTATTATTGTATTTTCCTTATTTTTGTGTTTTGTTGATTGCTATGGTTGAGCTGAAGCAATAAAGTTACCTGATGCATGATGCATGGTAATACTGTCCAGTACTTCCATGTTTTTAATGCTCTCCCACTGTAAAGGAACCCATGATTTCTGTTGAATGCAAGATACAGATTGCTGAGTTTTAGTGTTTGTTCATTTGTCCCAGAATGCATTCATGCTACTAGAGATATTTTGCACAGATTACAAACTGAAATAATTTTTCTGAAAAGAGCTTCGTAAATTGCTGTCTATTTTTGCAATGTACTTTCAGATGAAAGAAAGATGCTAATAATTGTTTCTTAACTCCTTAGAAAATCAAGTGACTGGTTCAGTACTGCCACATGTCACTAGCTCTTATCTTGAACAAATAGGAATTGGGTAAGGGAAACTTTCATCTAACCAATTTTCTTATGAGTATGTGTGTTTTAATTTAAAAAGCAGATTAGGGGGTTTGATTTTTTTTTGCTGTTTCTGATTTGAACTGTATTTATGATTAAAAACTCTAGAAAGTACCCTAGGGAAGATAGATATGTGCATGTTTGTGTGTGTGTGTATCTATATCTGATACACTTTGAGTTTGGATAATTGTGTGATGTTGTATTCTTTTGTCATTTCAGTCTTTACATGTTATCATTAATTCCTATAAAGCCCAAGAACTGGCTTGCCTGTGACATCACGATAAATTGACAGGTCATAGGTAAAGCACTTTCTGAGTCACAAAAATCACATTTGATCTTAAGGTGGGCAGCCATGTTGGTCTGAAGCAATACAATAAAGTTAGAGTCCAATGACACCTTTAAGACCAACAAATTTTTATTCAAGATGTGAGCTTTCGTGTGCATGCACACTTTGTCAGATGATTAAATGGAATTACGTATCGTAGTTGTATGTATAGGGGTGGCTTGTTAAATTAGCATGCAAAATAGTGAAAATATTTTTTAAAAAACAGATCAAAAGAATGACACGCTCAGTTTCTGGTTATTTGTTTTGATTTAACTGGGGGTGGCATTTAAGTGTAGTTCTGTTTTGGAGACAAGGAAAATACTCTGCATAGCCAAGATGCTGTAACGTTCGCCTCCATGCTAGAAAGATGATGGATGGGGATCTAAGAATAGGATTCTCACAAATTAGGACACATCAGTCTCCAGTTCCAACATATTTATTACCTATGTTGCTCCCCCCCCCCCAGTTGAACTGAAACAGATGATAACCAGAAACTGAGTGTGTCATTCTTTAGGTCTGTTTAAAAAAAAAAAAAAATTACTATTTTGCCTGCTAATTTAACAAGCCACCCCTTCTTTATACAACTATGATATGTAATTCCATTTCATCGTCTGACGACATGTGCATGCATACGAAAGCTCACATCTTGAATAAAAATTTGTTGGTCTTAAAGGTGCCATTGGACTCTAACTTCATTGTATTTGATTTTAATGTTTTTAATTCAACAATTGATGTGAGCTTTCGTGTGCATGCACACTTTGTCAGATGATTAAATGGAATTACGTATCATAGTTGTATGTATACATAGTTTGTTGTGATCCACACAGTCAAAGGCTTTAGCATAGTTAATGAAGCAGAAGTAGATGTTTTTCTGGTACTCTCTTGCTTTCTCCTGTCCTTAGCGTGTTATGTCCTGAAGACATTTGGCTAACAGAAATAAATCTTTCCTTGCTGTCTTCTTCCCCCTGCAGCCCACTGGGGGCTGCTGGAAAGGCATGGTCAGGGAAAGGAGAGGGGGGGGGGGTTGCAGCGGAAGATGAAACAGCTGCAGAATATAACCCGTTTCTTGCACATTTGCAACTGACTCTGTAGTGCAACAGCATTTAACACAGGTGTTGCTGTTACAATAGAATTTAAGGAGAGGGAGAGGTTTGCCTGAAGAATGGGATAGAGTTTCACAAAGGGCTGCTAGACCATGGTGTAAATTTCAGTAATCAAGGAACTCTTATTTTCAAATGCTGCTTCTTTGCCAGTGGTTCTGTGGAGGAATTGGCAACAAATAATTACATGGGTGACAGTCTGATTTCTCTCGTGTTAGCATTCATAGGCAAAAGTTTTTGTCATCAGGTGCATGAACTGTATGTGTACATAAGTCACACATGGGTGGAAACCAGTTTCCAGAGTTTGACTCCCACTTTGTATACTAGCTTATTCAGGGCGATACTCTTTTGCCTGCTTTAAGAATCTGATGAAGCATGTTCGTTCCATGAAAAATTAATGCTACAGTTCATTGTTTAGTTTTACAAATGCTGCAATATTTAATTAGAACAAGCCTCCTTCCACTATAGTAGCAGCAACACATTAGATTTTATTACATTCTTGGGTTAGATGTTACAAGATTTTTAAAATAAAATACTGAAATTGCTGGGGGGGTTTTCACTGTCTGGCTTTTATCAGTGTATGAATTGTAGAATATATCCAAGTTTTCTATTCTCATGTCAGCAGATATTTAATACAGAGTATGGCTAGAAGAGGAAGCAATACATATTTAGAAAAGCTGATTTTAGTATTTGAGAATAGTGACCAGAATAAATAAATTTTTCTTCATGAATTGCTACAATTGAAAAAAAATTAGTAACTTCCAAGTATGTTGAAGATCCTTTACTAAAATTGATACAGAAACACTGCCCTAACAGTTAACTTAAGTTGACCTCAGCCGCCCTGAGCCCGTTCGCAGGGAGGGCGGGGTATAAATGCAATAAAATAAATAAATTACTGTAAAATACACTGTGAAGTAAAACTGTAACCTGTTAATTTAATAATTTTTAGATGTCCGACAGTGAGAACAAAACTTCTACCCTGTTTGCGCAAGCTGGAACAAACTCATACTGACATAATGAAGGTGAGAAAAGCAGCTACATTAATCTGAAGCAAAACACAAAAATTTACTGTTTATAATGTAATCCTAGATCAAGATGGGTAGCCATGTTAGTCTGTCCATAGCAGTAGAAAAGAGTAAGAGTCCAGTAGCACCTTAAAGACAAACAAAGTTTGTGGCAGGTGTGAGCTTTCGTGAGTCACTACTCACAGATTTTGTTAGTCTTTAAGGTGCTACTGGACTCTTGTCTTTTCTAGTGTTATTCTAAACAGCAACATCCCTTGATTCAATAGACTTAAAAGGATATAACTGTGATTAGGATTGCAGAGTTAGGCTATCATATCGAAGGTAGTTTTTGGTCATCTTTTTTCCCATGAAAAGCTCAACAGCAGACATTGAATTCAAAACAACCTATGTTTAGAGAAAAGAATGTCAGGAAAATTGCTGGCCCATTTACAAGCAGAGAAAAGTGAAGTGTAAAGATTCTGGTGACTTAGAAAAATAACTTAGAAACTGAAGAATGTAGTAGTGAGGATGATATGAGAAATTTTCTTTGCAGTCTTTCTCTGCCTAGTATTTCAAATGAATACAGGATTAGTTTGGAAGAATAAGGTCCCAGGACGAGATGGCCTGACCAGTTGGGGGGGAGGCAATTGAGAACTTGCTTATACATACTTTATACATGTTATTAGATGTGTTGACATTTACTCCGTGGAAGATGCAAATTTGATAGATCTGTTTAAGCCAGGAAAGGGACCGTTCTCATCCTACTGGCCAATATTGCTGTTGAATACTGATTATAAAATGCTTACATTGATATTGACAGACCTTTGAATAGCAATCCAGACAAATAGATTGGATCAAACAGGCTTTTTAAAAAAGCTGACATAACTTATTTCCCCTGTTTTTTATGTTGTTGAGGCTGAAAAAGCATTCTGTACATCCAACAGGATATTTTCAGAAAGAAACCCTTGTCCAATTTGATTTGGAATGTTTTCTTAATTGGGTAAATTTGGAATAAAAGGCTCCTAAAATTAGAATGTGGGCAAACTATCATCTTTCACCACTGATTTGAATTATATTGTGGTACGAGACCAGGATGTCCTCTTTTGTCACTGTTGTTTAATCACTGTATCAAAGTTTTGGCTAAAAAGATCAGAGAGGAAAGTGCTAATTTGGAAATTGGTAATTGTTCTGTCACCACTAACTTATTTTAGGATGCAAATGATGAAGGGTTTGTGGTGAGAGACCCAAAGAAATAATTTAAAACCTTATTAGAAATTTTGCATGGTTATGGCCTCATATCAGGCTATAAAATTAACTTGATCGGATCCATATGAGCTTGCCTAGTATTGTATTGGCAATAGGGTCAGGGAGCAATCGTTCTCCAGGCCAGTTTGGCCAGGGATCCTGGAGGGTTGTGGGGGTTTTTGTTCTCTTCTGGGGATACAGCAGGGGTCACCGGGGGGGGGAGGTATTTGTGAATTTCTTGCACTGTTCAGGGGGTTGGACTAAATGACCCAGTTCTAGGATTCTAATGGCATCCACATATTGTTGTTAATTTTTATAAAACAACCAAGAATCTTGCATAAATAGATTGTTAGTACTGACTTGTGGATTGGATGCTTTCACAAACATGGTGAATTGTGTGGGTTAAAGACTAGATCAAGTTGCCAGAGTTCAGGAAGAAGACCCATGGCAGTAGGGCTAATCTCAGGAAAGCCCTATCTTGAGGCCATGGAGGAAGAAGAAATAGGCTTTGATTATTTGTCCTGCTGATCTTATTTGTATTTGTGGGTTTTCTTTTTGCTTTTTTGTTTTTTATTCAGGGACTTTTAAATAATTTTTTCCCAGAACAGATTATCAGCATTAAGGACTGATTTTTTAATTAAGTTTCACATTCTCAGTATAACGTCTGTGTTGTGTGCTCTTTATCCAATTGAAGTATGCATTTAGCTATTATAAACCTTAATTGATTGATAGCCTCATGTTTTAATTATCCTGTGTCTTAACTTTTTTGTATTAAATGTGAAAAAGAATTTTGGTTCTGTTCACTTACTTGAAAATAACTCAAGCTTGATTCTACTCTTTTCATAGATCATTTTTGTACTTTTAAATATTTTTTACAACTTTCAGGTATTTAATGATCCAATTCATGGCCATATTGAAATGCATCCTCTGCTTGTTCGAATCATTGATACCCCCCAGTTCCAGCGTCTACGATACATTAAACAATTAGGTGGTACTTACTATGTTTTCCCAGGAGGATCACACAACCGCTTTGAACATTCCCTTGGGTAAGGAGGCACCCTGTTCATTCTCTGTATATATTCTGTGTCTTTGTTTCTGCTGAACTGGTGTACTTAGCCACCTGACTCATATTACTGATATTCTCAGGCACAGCCAATTCTTCAATAACACCAGATTCATTCTAGTATTTATAGTAAAAGAAAAGTATATATAGTAAAAGAAAAGGCACTCTTTAGCATGATTGGTTTTACATGACACTTCGACAAATCCCTATAGTGAAAGAACCCCCTCTATCTTAATAGGTGGGAGCTACAACTTTATGCATATCATATAGCTATACTGTTGAGCGTCCCTGTTTTTTAATGTCTGGTTAGACATGTGTCCCTAGTGTGCAGGAGGAGTGTTCAGCTTCCAAATAATAAAACTAACTGCAAGTTCACAAAATAGAGGAGCACTGTAGAAAGAGAGTTAGCATTGTAGATATACAATGTTAAAAAAAACACCAGTAGCTCATATCGTATTGACTTGAGTTCTGTCCTGCTGA